CTCCTCAGCCTGCCCTCGGGGGTCCTACAAAGCCTTGGCTGGGAATGCCCCCTGCTCACCATGCCCTGCCCGCAGCCATGCCCCGGATCCTGCGGCCCCTGTGTGCCCCTGCCTGGAAGGCTTCTTCCGGGCCAGTTCAGACCCCCCAGAAGCCTCCTGCACTGGTGAGTCCCCCCCGCCCAGGGACGGAATCGGGAGGCAGTGGGGCCAGGAGAGGGTGAGCCTGAGGGCACACAGGGTGGCTGGTTGGCATTTGCAGTGACTTTTTCCTCCTCTGTCTTTGCTTTCCTTCCCTGCCACGTTTCCCTGACTGCTCTGCTCCTGGCCCACCTGCTTCCTCCCTACACTGTCTCCTTCCTTCACCCATCACCCCCACCCCACAACTCCCTACTCCCTGGCCCTTGTCCCCCACCATGCACGTGGTCTCCCCAGGCCCCCCGTCAGCCCCCCAGGAGCTGTGGTTCGAGGTGCAGGGCTCCACCCTCATGCTGCACTGGCGCCTGCCTCGGGAGCTGGGGGGCCGCGGGGACCTACTCTTCAACGTCGTGTGCAAGGAGTGCGGAGGGGCCGGGGGCCAGGGCCCTTGTCGCCGCTGTAGGGACGAGGTGCATTTCGACCCCCGCCAGAGGGGCCTGACCGAGAGCCGTGTGCTCGTCGGGGGGCTGAGGCCACATGTACCCTACATCCTGGAGGTGCAGGCTGTCAACGGGGTGTCAGAGCTCAGCCCCGACCCTCCCCAGGCTGCAGCCATCAATGTAAGCACCAGCCACGCAGGTGAGCCTCGGCCGCCCCTAAGCTTCCAGTCTCCTCCTTAGAAACCCCTGTGCCCCACTCCTGCTCTCCAGCCCCTGGAAACCCCACTAACATCACCCCCACGCCAGTTCCCTCCGCAGTCCCTGCCATGCACCAGGTGAGTCGCGCCTCCAACAGCATCACCGTGTCCTGGCCGCAGCCTGACCAGACCAACGGAAACATCCTGGACTATCAGCTCCGCTACTATGACCAGGTGGGGAGCAGAGGGCGGCCCTGGTGGGGCTGGTGGGAGGTTCCAGGGGCCCCACAGTGGGGCGAGAGGTGGGGGGACCAGAGGGGTGCCTCAGGGCCCTGCAGCCGGGGAGTGAGGAATGTGGGAGGGGGGGCAGGGGGGATCGGGACCCCACAGCCGGCAGGGAGTGAGTGGCTGTCACCAACCCCCCAGGCAGAAGATGAATCCCACTCCTTCACCCTGACCAGTGAGACCAACACAGCCACCGTGACCAAGTTAAGCCCCGGCCACATCTATGGCTTCCAGGTGCGGGCGCGGACAGCCGCGGGCCATGGCCCCTATGGGGGCAAGGTCTACTTCCAGACGCTGCCTCAAGGTGAGGGGAGGCCTGGGTGGGGTGGGGGCGGCCCGAAGGGATGGTGAGGAGGGGCCCGGGGACCATCCAAACCTTGCACCTTCACCCTGACCTTCCAGACCAGGAGAGTGTCTGCCCCTTGATCTTGGTTCCCTGTGGGGAGGGGGTGCGTGAGGGAAGGATGCTCCGGCCTGTGAGATCTTATTCACCTGTGCCCCTGTGTGCTGGTTCTCCAGGTGAGCTGTCCGCTCCGCTTCCTGAGAGGCTCTCCTTGGTGGTTGGGTCCATCCTGGGGGCGCTGGCCTTCCTCCTGCTGGCGGCCATCACCGTGCTGGCTCTCGTCTTCCAGAGGTGAGCCCCTCCCCGCCACAGCCGGGTACCACCCCCTCCACACAGCCCCAAGTCCTGACAGCCACAGAGTTCCCCTGGGAAGCCCCCACCAGTGCCCTGTACCCCCAGCAGCCCGCAGCCCCTGGGTCTGGCTGCCTGCCGCCCCAGAGCCCTGGCAGGGCCTTGGCCTCCGCGGGTGGACTGGGGAGGGGACAGGTGGGAGTGTGCCTGCAGGACTGTGGTTTTGGTCCCCAGGAAGCGGCGTGGAACCGGCTACATGGAGCAACTGCAGCGATACAGCAGCCCAGGTCGGGGGTGGGGCTGGGAAGTGGGGGCGGGCGAGCTGGAATCAGAACGGCCTGAGAAGGAAGGATGAAGATCCCAGAGGTGGGGCAGGAGGGGGCGGAGGGCTGGGGCAGTGAGTCTGGGGCAGCTGAGAACTGGCCAGGGGTACCCTTAGGCGGGGCCCGGCCTCCAGGGCTGCGGGCAGCTCCTTGGCACCGTCTTTGGGAGTGAGAGAGCAAGCCTGGGGTGTGTGGGCATGTGCCCTCGTCATGGACCGCCCCCCACACCTGCAGGGCTCGGGGTGAAGTACTACATCGACCCCTCCACCTATGAGGACCCCTGCCAGGCCATCCGAGAATTCGCCCGGGAGGTTGACCCCACGTACATCAAGATCGAGGAGGTCATTGGGGCAGGTACTGCGTGGGGGCAGAGGAGGGCATGGAAGGGGTTCCCAGGAAGGTCCCTTCTGAACAGGGTAGGACACCTCGAGTCCCTCCTGTGGACCCCGCCCCCAGCCTACACCTGCCCCCCCCAGGCTCCTTCGGGGAGGTGCGCCGGGGCCGCCTGCAGCCCCGGGGACGGCGGGAGCAGGCCGTGGCCATCCAGGCCCTGTGGACCGGAGGCGCCGAGAGTTTGCAGATGGCCTTTCTCGGGCAGGCCGCCATGCTGGGCCAGTTTCAGCACCCCAACATCCTGCGGCTGGAGGGCGTGGTCACCAGGAGCCGGCCCTTCATGGTGCTGACGGAACTCATGGAGCTGGGCCCCCTGGACAGCTTCCTGAGGGTCAGTCAGGCTGGTGGTGAGGCGGTGCTGGTGGGGGGAGGCTTGGGCTGGGAAAGTGGGCAGTTCTCAGCTGTTCGGGACTCACAGCCCCATCCCTCTGCTCCCTCCTGCTGCTGCCTCTGGGGTCTTCAGCCTTCATTCTCAGGCCATTCTGATTCCATATAGCCCTTGCCCTTGGGTGCCAGTGTGTCTGTGTGATGAGTCTAGGTTCCTCCCCCTGCTTTTGCTGACCTGTCCCCCCTCCACCGCCCCCCAGCAGCGGGAGGGCCAGTTCAGCAGCCTGCAGCTGGTGGCCATGCAGCGGGGCGTGGCCGCTGCCATGCAGTACCTGTCCAGCTTCGCCTTCGTGCACCGCGCACTCTCCGCCCACAGCGTGCTGGTGAACAGCCACCTGGTATGCAAGGTGGCTCGTCTCGGCCACAGCCCTCAGGTGAGAGCCAGCCTTGGGGGCCCGGCCTCCCTGGGGGGGCGGGGTTGCTGGAGGACAAGCTGGGACCAGGGGCGGTGGATGCCTCAGGGGGCATACCTTAGAGTCTGAAGGGGCGGAGCTCACCTGTGTGATGGAGCAAACCCCAGGCGAGGGGGCACAGCGGGACATCAGGGAGGGGCTAAGGACACTGAGGAAGGAAGGGAGTCCTCCTAGAACCACCCCCTGCCCTTCCCTAGTGCTGACCAGTGTCAGAGCCCCTGGGTGCAGATCCACACACCACCCTCAAGCTCTGTGACTTTGCACACATTTGTATTTCTCTATGTCTCAGCCTCTGTACCTGCAAAATGGAGATAATGCCATCGGTAATACAGGGTCATCATGGAATTAAATGAGATGCTTGCTGTGAAACCCTTGATACACATCTGAGCACATAGTAGTTGATCAGTAACTAGGACCATGGCTCTGATTATTGCTATTGTTACTTTCAACCCCACCCCTCAGGGCCCAAGTTGTATGCTTCGCTGGGCGGCCCCAGAGGTCATCGCACATGGGAAACATACAACATCTAGTGATGTCTGGAGCTTTGGGATAGTGATGTGGGAAGTGATGAGTTATGGAGAGCGGCCCTACTGGGACATGAGTGACCAGGAGGTGAGCTCATGACCCGGAACCCCTGTCCGTCCAACCCACCAGACTTACAGACTCAAACATTCTAAGCCCTCCATCCCGGAATACATTCACATTCTAAGATCTCATGGGTCTCATTTTCCATGTTTGAGTTCCTTTCCAACCTCATGCTTACCTAACGATACATTCTTTTCCACTAGCAATAGCCTCTAAGCACCATCTTCTTCCTCTAATCCCCAGGTGCTAAATGCAATAGAGCAGGAATTCCGGCTGCCCCCACCTCCAGGCTGTCCACCTGGACTGCACCTGCTTATGCTGGACACTTGGCAGAAGGATCGTACCCAGCGACCTCACTTTGACCAGCTGGTGGCCGCATTTGACAAGATGATCCGCAAGCCAGACACTCTGCAGGCTGGCGGGAGCCCCGGGGACAGGTCTGGAGCTTTGGCGTTAGAGCCCGGGAGAGCCAGGGAGGGTTGATGCAGACCCATAAAGGAGACTGAGGAGAGGGGACAAGGACAAAGAGGAGACTGACCTGCCTGCCCCTCCCTCCCAGACCCTCCCAGGCCCTGCTGAATCCCGTGGCCCTGGACTTTCCATCTCTGGACTCCCCTCAGGCCTGGCTCTCGGCCATCGGCCTGGAGTGCTACCGGGACAACTTCTCCCAGTCTGGCCTCTGCACCTTCGGTGATGTGGCTCAGCTCAGCCTGGAGTAAGCCGGAGGGGTCGGGGAGGGGAGCCTCAGCCCAGGGCCAGGGGCAGGGCCCGGGGTCTTGAAGACACGGGCCCCAATTTTTTTTCCCTTCCGTTCCCCTCCCTAGAGACCTGCCCGCCCTGGGGGTCACCCTGGCTGGCCACCAGAAGAAGCTGTTACACCACATTCAGCTCCTGCAGCAGCACTTGAGGCCGCCAGGCCCCGTGGAGGTCTGAGGTCTGGGCGGGAAGCTACGACGTGAGGATGCCCGTAACCAAGTCCTGGATGAGGGTCCCAGGGGGGCCAAGGGAGATATGAACCTGGCTCCACGCCCGCCAGCCACACACTAAACCCAACCCTTGGGACACCTCCCTCCCCGGTCCTCCCCTGCCTTCCCCACATTAAAGGGAAAGAAGGGATTTTGCACATCGGAGTAGTGGTGAGGCCCTGTGGTCTGCATGGAAGGGGCGGGAGACCCCACCGCAGAGAAGGCTGCAGGACGAGAGGAGGAGCGAACAGGAAGTGGCTTTATTGGAAGGTTGGAGGCAGTGTCACACCCCATCCCCTCCCAGTGGTACCCATCTGCTCGGCACACCTCCCCAGACCTCTGCGGCTGTCTGCGGCTGTGACCCTGGATGGAGGCTGGTGCCCGAGGTGGCACCCCAGCCTTTTGTAAAGTGCTTTGTTCAGACAGGGCAGTAAGGCCGGGGTGGGCGAAGCTGGGTCCCTATTCGCGCTGGGCCCTGTGCTTGGGGCGAGGCGTGAGCCTGCTCCTCGGTTTCCCTGTATTCTGTTCTACGCCCCCGCCCTGACCTGGCAGGTGAGAGATCTGGACTTTGGTGGGAGGCTGGAGGCGGGAGGCGGGAGGCGCGCTCAGATCTGGTACTCCCAGCCCTCCCCGTCCTCCAGAGCCTTGTTGACCACCCCCCGCAGCTCTGACTTCAGGGTCCCTTGCCGTAGCCTCTCCCAGTTGATGCTGCTGCGGGAGGTACTTCGAGACACCGAGGGGGTAGGAAGCGACAGGCAGGGTCCCAAGGGGCCACCCAGCCACAGTCTTTCCATGTCGTCCTCCAAGCCTTGGTGGCAGAAGGCCTGGGCGTAGCGCCGGACACGCTGCTGGTTGATATCCTGTTTCTCTTCCACCCTGTTGGGGGAGGGGGAGTATGGAGGAGGTGATGGAATGGCTGACCTTGGACCAGCCCTCCTGCAGGTGGTCTTTCTCCTTGTCTGCAGCCTGAGTGGGCACAGTGGATGCCAGGCTTTGGGAAGCAACAGAGAGCCGGGTCCAGGGACAACATGGATGCTTTCAGGGCCCCTCCGGCTCCTGGCAGGTTCCTTTGCCCAGTGAGACTGGAAGCCCAGGGAGTGCACAGGCCTGCCAGCCCATGCCATCACTCACCGTAGGAACCAGCGGTCCCCCAGCCCGAACTTGTGCCCGCAGATCCCCGAGCGAGGCCACAGGCAACGCGGCAGCTTCTTCTCTAGCATCACAGTGGTGGCTACAACCTGTGGGGCGGGGGGTGGGTGGCAGAAGACGATGAAACCAGAGACGGGGTGCAGACCCCTGGGAGAGTGGATAGGACTCCGGGCAGAGGGACCACAGTGTAGCAACAGCTGGGAAACATGGTTTCCCAGAGGGGACCACAACCCTGAGCAGAGGTTGGTGGCATCAGCTTCGTCACCCCTTTTCTGCAGGAGAGTGATGGGCCTTGAGCCCCATGACGCTTCACCCAGTGACCTAGCATCCAGGCCAGGCCAGTCCTGCGGGAGGTGGGGAGACCTCGCTCTGAGGATCAGGAAGGTGGGCAGAGCAAAGAGCAAGGGTCCTCAGGGCTATGGAATATTTTGACCCTGCAGATGTAAAGGCTACTTAGAAACACAAACATCCTACAGAGGAATTTCCTACCAATACATTTGCATTGAAAAAATATTTTCATGAGCAAACCCTATGTCGCCAGTTTAGGGTTTTTTTTAACTCCACTTTCTGCACAACACAGTTAAATGCCATCCAGTTGGAGGGATTTCCCATTTACATTGCTGAAATTATTTTTGTTGAGATAAATTCTTTTGTAAGTACATTTTAAAATGATGATTTGATCCAGTTAATTCGTGCTTTTGGCCCCATCACAATTATCTGACTGAAGATAGTTTCTGTGACTATAGGGAGTTTGTGTGGCATTATTTTTAACATGTCCAGTTTTTTCTGGGTCAAATTTTGAAGATTTAAATATTGCCCAAAAGTTGATACTTCAGTTTTTATTTAGTAACAAAATTTCATGAATGCAGTTGTAGCTACTGTGTGTGTGTGTGCACTAAGTCGGTTTGGTCCTGTCCTCCTCTTTGAGACCCCATAGACTATATAGCTCTTCAGGCTCTTCTGTCCATAGGATGCTCCAGGCAAGAATAGTGGAGTGGGTTGTATTCCCTCCTCCAGGGGATCTTCCTGACCCAGAGACCCAACCCGCATCTCTTAAGTCTCCTGCATTGGCAGTCAGGTTCTTTACCACTAGCATCACCTGGGAAGCCCACTGTAGCTACTCCTGAGCTTCGTTTCTTACTGATGATTCTAGAAAAGACAGATTTTACTTTTTTGAGAAAACAGGGATTCTTTTCACCTGTTCCAGGATTTCTTGACTGTATTGCTGATCCAGTTCTGTACACTTTGCGTCAATTTTGCCTGTGCAATAACCCTCCAGATATACTGGGGCAGGGCGAGGCGGCAGGCAGCGAAATATCCTGCTTCTGAGTTTGGCCTGGCCCTTGGCAGGAAGAGAATGACTTGCACTAACCCTCCCGGCCACCAGAGGGGGCCGCTCACCTGGGCCCTCCAGAGCTCATCCCGCTCGTGGGCTACACGCCAGTGAGTGTCGCCCATCATAGCGATGAGGAGGTTGAGCATCAGCAGCGCGGCGATGATGGCGAAGGCAGCGTAGGTGATGCTGTACATGAAGGGCAGATCCACGTCGTAGTTGGCGGGGCCGTCGATGATGGTGAGGAACAGCTCAAAGGTGCTGAAGAGCGCCATGGGGTAATTGTAGAAATGGCCCAGCTCATTGGGGTCCTCTGTCTGGAAGATGATAAAGAAGGCTGCTCTCACCCAAGGGGGTGAGAGTTCCATGTGATTAAACCGTAGCCCGCTCTCTGCTGCCCACTTCAGTCCTGTCTGCTTCCTCTCCAGTGTCACCATCCCAGCCCTCCAGCCCTCCGTCCTGTGGGTTCTTACGTTCCCCTGTCTTCCATATGACTCACCCTCCTGATCCCAAGAGCCAGCTCTCCGCCTTAACACATCCCATCCTCAGACACTGTGGCCTTCTCCTGCCTCTGCCCTCCCTCCTGCCCCCCTCTCCCCCTAGGTTTATCCAGAGGCATCCTATGCTTTCTGGTTTCCTCCAGCCCAGGGCCCCTAGCTCAGATGATTTACCCGAGGCAAAACCCAGGATGACCACGGCCATCAGCCAGCAGAATCTCATCAGATCGCCAAAAATCATCTAGAGGGAAGGAAGAGAAGGGAGGCCAGCTCCACACCAGGCCTGTGAACAATCTCCCCTTATAGCCTCTAAGAGGTCTAGCCCTGAGAAGTCCAACAGCTCCGCCTTCTAGCATAGGGGCTGGCCAGCTATGGCCTGCCGGCCAAATCTACTGGATCAAGTTTGGTGTGGCCCTTGAGTGAGAATTTTCCACTTTTTAGATGATTGAAAAAAAAATTAAAAGGGGGAAGAGAAGAAAATCAAAGAGATTATATACATGTTGGCTCTGCAAGCCTGGTAGGGAAGATTCCCTGGAGAGGGAAATGGCAACCCACTCCAGTGTTCTTGCCTAGGAAATCGCATGGTCAGAGGAGCCTGGCAGGCTACAGTCCATGGGGTTGCAAAGAGTCGGACATGACTTACAGACTAAACCACCACTGCAAGCCTGAGATCTCTCTGATCTGATGCTTTTCAGAAATGTTTGCAGCCCCTGCTCTAGGACCTTTCTCTAGAAAGTCTGGGAGGAGGCACCGACCTTCTGGATCATGATGGTGAAGGGGCCCAGCATCTGGAATCCTCGCGCAAAATACATGACGTTGCACCAGCCCAGCACCAAGGCGAAGGACATGGGTACCACCTCCCCATTGGTGTTGGTGAGCCGCATCACCATGGTCACCAGCACCATGCAGGCATAGGTGATGCTGGGGGAAGAGTCGGGAGGGGGCCGTGAGAGAGCTGGGCTGATCCTGAGGATCCAAGAGTGAGGGGTTGATGGAAGTGCTACCCACAAACTCAGCTTCAAGCTCCATACACAGGGTCACACACACATCACAGCGAGGCCTTTGGAGCTGGGGTTCTCCAGAGGCCGGTCCAGGGAGTTAAACTGAAGCCTTAGTGAGGAAAGGGGTGGAGGGTGAGAGGAAAAGAGACTCACAAGAGGATGTGGAATGGTCCTCCAAGGATGGTCTGTCCGAAGAAGCGACTGAGCCCCACTCGGAAGATGTCTGTAATCTGGGGAGAGGCCAGAAGGACATGAAGCACTTATAGACTGAAGCTTGAACTGGATCCCTGGGGCACACAGCCTCACCCCCGGATCCCCACTGCGCCTACCTCTATGAGCAGGATGATGACAGCCCCAAAGATGCTCACCAGCTCCCCCACCAGTCGGAGGTGGTCCTGGCGGGTCACATAGGCCTCCTGAAAGGAGAGGCGTGGTCAGAGGACTCAGGGCTTCCCCCCCATCTGCCCTGCTCACCCTTGGGTGCAAGTCCACATCCTTGTCTAGGGACACCAGTTGCTCAGATTCTTTTCAACCTATGAGGTTTGGCTCTCTCAAACTCTGCTCTTAGAGCATCGGTGTGTATCTGTGTGCATGTATTTGAGTTTGTGCCTATGTAGTTGAGATCTGGGCAAGGAGAGAAACGTGGGTGGTAAGCTAGGAACGTGACACACGTCTGAGAAATGGCAGAGAGCCTGGATACCCGCCACCCCCAAAGCTCTGCTGCTCCTCGGGGGTCACCTGAAGTGGCTTCTGCTGACAGAGGGTGTTGTCCCGGGGGTCAGTTTCGTTGTCAGTCCTGGGCTTGAGGGGGCGGTACACACAGCACATGGTGAAGCAGATGATGTACAGCAGGTATGTGGCTGCCAGTGCACAGAAGTACGGCCGCCCGTATCTCTTCCACTTGAGGGTCACCAGCTCTTTTACTGGCGTCTGGTCTAGGATCTGGCGAGCCTGCAGCAGAAAGAGAAGGCAGCAAGCAGCTCAGAGCCCCTGACTCCCCTCCCTAGCGGCTCCCTAGCCTGAGGACCAGCCCCCACCACCCGCCACCCACCGTACCTCTCGCTTCTTGGAGCTGACGATAAGTTCCAGCAGGGATAGCTCCTCCCCTGAGGAGTCAATCTCCGTGAGGTCGTAGAGAGTGGAGGTCAGCGGCCCACACGTCCACTGGATGTACTTCCGCTTCTGCACCAGGTTCTGGAACATCTAAAGTTAGGGATGGAAGGGGTGGGCAAGCGAGTGAGGAGGAGCAAGCCAAGGGGACTGTTCTGGGGGGTGGATGGGATGCTTGCCCAGAAGGACTGCTGCATCCCTGAAAGGAGGCTCGCTCTTCACTCAAAGACCGCAGCCTTGTGGACAAAAGTACCCTTCTCCATGTCAGCCTCCTAGTTCATCCTCTTCCCCCATAACTCCCTCCAGAGCTTGGAAAGAGGAGGTGCGAGGATGCAGCGCAGGGGGACATGGGTTTTACAGACCACCCCTGGACGGGATCTAGACCCTCACAGCCCCTAATGACTCAGGGCAGAAAAAGTGGGAGAGAAAGAAGATGTGAGACAGGGGCAGAGAAGGAAATTCCAATCGAAGCTGAAAATAGGGCCTCGGCATTAGGGAGGACCATTCACATTTACTTCCTCAAAGGGCCAGGAAGTGTAAGATGAAGGGTCAGGGGAAGGATCCCCGTGGGGTTGGGGGAGGGCCCCTCACCACAGTGTTGCCCTCCACTCCGGCCAGCTTGAAGGGGGTGAGGCCCTGGTGATTGAGCATGAGGTCCAGGGACTGCAGGTGGTCCCCTCGCCTGTCGTAGGACAGCAGCAGGTTGTACATCTGGCAGGCAAAGGTTTTGTTGGGCTGGAGGATGAGGATGTGCAACACTGTGTTTCCTGGGAGAGGACACGGGGTGTCATGTGACCCCTGGGACCAGAGTCCCTGCTGTTCCCCAGGACCACCCCCCGGGGGGGGGCCTGAGGGGAGTCCCAGCCCCTCCCCTGCCACCCCCAGCCTCCCAGCGCCCCCTCCAGCCCAGCTCTTACCCAGGGAGTCCTGGGCCCGGATGTCAGCGCCATGCTCAATGAGCAGCCTCACGATCTCCTCGCTGCCCATGCAGGCGGCAAAGGACAGAGGGTGCTCCCCTGGGGATGCAGAGGCCCGGGCGGGCGTGAGATGCAGGCGGGGATGCGCAGTGTCTCTGAGCGACCGCCTCTGCCTCCCCTGTCTCCGGGGACCCTCGTCAGCAGGACCAGAGGCAGGGATGCTGGAGGGGGCCCCGGGGTGGGGGTGGGGGCTTGGCTCTGGCCTTCGGCCCTGAGGGCGGACCCCTCCCAGCTTCCCCAGGCACGGAGGCTTCTCAGCCCACCCTCCCTTGACTGGTGCCCCCCTCCTCGTCCTCCCAGCCCCGTCCTGGCTCTCACCAAAGTAGATGAGATTGTGAGGACTGAGGCGGAAGGCGGAGCCTACCGCCCTCGCAGAGACGCTGGCCCCGTGGGCGAGCAGGGCTTTCACCAGGTTCACGTTCCGGTTCATGACCGCTATGTGCAGCGCCGTCTGACCTGGACAAGAGAGCTCTTGGCTTGGGCTCTGTCCCCAGGATCCAGCTAGGGGTCCCTCCTATCTTCACAGATCCCTGCAGGGGGACCCTCCTGTCTCCACCAGGTCAGCCTTTCTGGGGGAGGATGAGACAGGGGTAGGGGCCTGGTGGGGCTCCCAGGGGACCCTGGTGCTGCCTGCCTCTTCCTACTCTAGTGGTTTAGTCGCCGAGTCGTGTCTGACTCTTGCAACCCCGTGGACTGTAGCCCGCCAGGCTCCTCTGTTCATGGGATTCTCCAGGCAAGAATACTGGAGTGGGTTGCCTTTTCCTTCTCCAGGCGATCTTTCTGCTCCAGGAATCAAACATGGGTCTCCTGCACTGCAGGCAGATTCTTAACCTACTGAACGACAAGGGAAGCCTTCCTACCCCAGGTCTCTCCGTTTCAGAGGTTAGCACTCCAGTGAGGGGAAGGGACAGAGAAGGGGCCCCAGTTTCCTTCTTGGTTTCCCCAGATTATCCACCACCAAGGTCACGCTTCCCTCCATCCTAGGCCCTCGGCCCCTCACCTTCGTACAGCTCAGATGTCATGGGCTCCTTGACCAGCTCGGGGACAGCCTCCATCAGCACCATGGCGGCCTCCAGGTTGTCATAGAGGGCGGCCACGTGCAGTGCCGTCTCCCCGACGGCTCCTGGCATTGACAGAAAGCAGAGTCACGTGGCCTCTCTGGAGCAGGGAACGGGGGCCCATAGAGAACTGGGGGCGCACAGCAGAAGGTCCTGGGCTATACGAGCAGGAGGAGGGGGAGGAGGGCCGTGGGCACAGGGCTGACCCAGTCGGAGATGCTCCTTACCTTTCTGGTGGACATCACAGGCCTCATACTTGAGCAGCTTGCTCAGAGCCTGGATGTCGTTCTCTTTGGCAGCTAGCAAGAGCGGAGACTCCCAGATCCTATAAGAGAGGGGAGTGAACCAGTTGGGAAGCAAGGTGGGCGGCTTTGCTCCGTCTCACACCTCGGTGGCAGTAAACCCCGAACCCAGAGGTCCCTCATCCAGAGAGGTGGGGCCGCTTTCAGGGGAGGGGCTGCCCGAGCTCTCTTTGCCTGACCCACTGGTTAATCCAAGCCAACTTTTCCATAGTTTGCATGAGTTAAATCCAAGCCAACTTTTCCGTAGCTTACATGAGTTAAATCCAAGCCAACTTTTCCATAGTTTTGTGTGAGTCAAATCCAAGTCAACTTTTCCATAGTTTGTGTGTAGGCGAACATCAGGACCACTTTCCTTTCCTCAGTGTGTGTGTGTGTGTGTGTGTGAGAGAGAGAGAGAGAGAGAGAGATCTGTGAACATTAGGTGGAGAGGAAGGAGTTTCCGCTAAATCCTTGTTTACCTCCTGACCTATTTGGCCTCTGGAGTAACCCCTTTCAATATCCCTTGAAGTCCTGAGATTACCCTCCAAGATAAGCCTTGTTTTCATGGACTGAGGGTATGAGGAAATGCCTTCCCATCTTTATGGAGGAGGCCGACATACAGAGGCTGGTGGGTGTTTCTGCTGTTGTGTGATGCTTCCCTTCCTCAGGAGAACCTTTGATTCTGGCACTTTCTCCCCTATGACAGCATCTTTGGGGCTCAGTCCCAAAGCAGCTGTGGGCCCTTTCTTTCTTCTGGCCCCTGTATCGGGCTACAGTCTCTGCCTGCTTCCTGTCTGTGTCTCACTTGTTTTAGGCAAAGAATCATCTCTGATTTCCCAGTTTTATGCCTACAATGAACTGCACACTTCTTGTAAGATCAAAACTTACTCCAACTGAGACACACGGGGGCCCTTTATTTACTTTTCCCTGATGGCCCAGAGCTACTTGGTCTTTCTACAGGAGTGAATGAAATAACACTATTTGTCCACAGAGGGTCAGTTATGTGAACAGGAGCTCATACACCAAGAAGGCCATAGTAGCTGGAAGCTGACTCCAAGAGCTGGGGGTGGAAGGGGTGATCGGGAGAGGAGGAGAGAGCGTGACCTGTCCGTCTCCCTGAATGCTGGTCCCAGGTCCCCGCATCAGGCCACAGGGGCAGCCACCTGTCAATTCAATGTCTCTTTCTGCTCAGTCCCTGCCTCCTCGTTCCCACTGATTCTTATTAATCTACATCCTCATTCTCTGGGCCAGGATTAGCAAAATCTTCTTCTGACTAGTCCCCCTATGCCCTGTTTACCCCCAATCCATCCTTCTGGATGCTCCCAAGACATTGTCTCTAAACAGAAAATGCAAGCATAGTTTGTAAAAGTCTCGTGGGTCCTAAACACCCAAAGAGAAGAAACTCAGAAGTCCCCTCCAGGCTTCATGCAACCCTTTTTCCGTGCTTTCTTCCTCCTGCTGGCCCCGGACACCCAGCAGTTCAGTCTTGGCACCGCAGGGCACACCATCCTCCTCATGGCTGTGCTGTCTCTCTGCTTTCACCTGGAATCCAGCCCCCACCCACCCTAGTTACTCTGTATGCTGCGTTCCCAGGGCCGGGGAATATGCCCAGTGTGATGGCAGATGCTCATTACCACTCTCTGTAGAGGGAATGAACTGTAGCAATGCCAGAAGGTGGTTTGGCTTTACTGCCTCCCGCCCTCCCCCAATTAGCTCCATCAGCCACCCCTAAGCCAACCTTAGGCAAACATGTAATCTAAGTAAAAACTAGTATGCCTCGTGTGCTCATGCAGCTGCAAGACAAGTTTGCAGCACCTCCCACCACTCTCATCATCACCCCTATCACTCCAGCCACCATCACCCCCACCACCACCATGACCCCCGCCACCATCACCACCCCCGCTGTCCAGACCTGCCTCCCCTANTCATCTTTTATCCTTTCTCTGCTCTCCTCCAATTAGCTTCTAGTTGTTGTTGTTTTGTTTGGCTCCTAGTTCTGTGCCCTGTTTGGCCAAGGGTTAATGGCGAAGCTAGAAATGGGTCCAAAAGGGCTTCTAACCCGAGTGCAGAGTCCACTCCCTGCTTCCTAGGACATAAGTGGGGAGGCTAGTCAGTGGCAGCCCCAAAGACACCACTCTTGGTTCTCTGACATATCTCTGATGACCATGAACGTCCTTCTCAAACCTCCAGTCCCCACATGTCCTGCTTCTGGCCTCCGCTGCCGGCCCAAGTGGCCCGGCAAGGGCAGGAAGCTACCGTTTGAACTGGGATGGCTAGATTTACAAAATAAAAACATGGGGATGCTCAGAGTTGAATTTTAGATACACAACAAATAAGTTCTTGTTTTTTCCTTGGCTGTGCCATGTGGCTTATTGTATCTTAGTTCCCCAACCAGGGATCAAACCTGGGCCTTCGGCAGTGAAAGTACAGAGGCCTAACCCCTGGACTGCCAGGGAATTCCCCGCAAATAAGTTTTTAATATAAGTATGTCCGTGCAATATTTAGGGCAAACTGAAACTGACAATCTATTCGTTGTTTATCTGAAATTCACATTTAACTCTGTGTCTTGTATTTTATCTGGGAACCTCAATCAGATCACACTCTGGATGAAGAAAAGGCTTATGACCCAAACCAGCGACGTTTGTAGAGACCTGGCCTCCTCTGCGTGGCAAACTCCAGTATCCAGCAAAAAGGGAGGGCAGAGTATACATGGTTCCCAGGGAGTCAGGCAGAGGTATGACTTGCAACAGCATCACATGGCCACAAGGGGGCAGCCAAGAAAGCTCTTGCTAATATTCTGGGCAGTGAGGCAGAAAAGATAGGGCTAAGTCGTGTCCGACTCTTGCGATCCTAGGAACTGTAGCCTGCCACGTTCCTCTGTCCATGGGATTCTCCAGGCAAGAATACTGGAGTGGGTTGCCATTTCCATAAGGCAGAACTCCCCCCAAACACCTGCCTACACTTACACCCCATAAAAAAGATGGACCCCATAAAAAAGAGCAGACCCATCCAAAGATTCTTGTGCCTGGTAAAGAAATAGTTTGTTCCAAAGAAACCCAACACAGAACTTTAGATCTGGAGTAAAATCTATACATCTTCACCAGACATCTCCCTAGGGCAGGAAGAAGAGGAGATACTGCCAAAATGTCTTCTGATTTTAATGGTTAAATTATACTCACTCTGTTCCAGGGGACAGTTTCATTTTATTTAGAAGCACACATAACTTTACTACCAGAATCTCTTATTTACAAACAGTGATTTAGAGTAGTGGTCTTTCCCAGGTGGCTTTGTGGTAAAGAATCCTCCTTCCAATGCAGGAGATGCAAGAGATGCAGGTTAGGTCCTTGGGTGGGGAAGATCCCCTGGAGGAAGAGGTGGCAACCATTCCAGTATTCTTGCCTGGAGAATCCCATGGACAGAGGAGCCTGGTGGGCTACAGTCCACGGGGTTTCAAAGAGTTGGACATGACTGAGCACACACACCTTAACCAGGTACAACTCCCTGCCTCCTTCCAGGGGATTTGGCAGAGTCTGGAGACATCTTTGGTTGTCATGACAGAGAGGGGGTGAAACTGGCATCTAGTTGGCAGAGGGCAGGGGTGCTGCTGAGCTTCTTAAACAAGGCAGCCTCTTGTAACAGAGAGTTATCTGCCCAACATGTGAAAAGTGTCAAGGCACAGAAGCCCTGACCTCAATGTGTAAGTATTCATAATCTATTTTTTAAGAAAGGATTTTTCACATTAAATAGAATGAGAAATTCCATCCATGTTTTCTTACAAATCATTAAATGCTCAACTAAGAAACAAAAAAATGAAGGCTTTTAAGCACCTGCAGTTTAATTATTTAATAAAAGACAATGAAAGAAATTAGAAGATCTGAAATGATAAAGATATGAAAGTTGTTTCCAGAATTTAGAATGTCTTATTTTGCTTGACTATTATAAAATTGAACAGTCTGGTTCAATACTGGACTAGTAGAAACACTGCTATAGGATTTCTGGCATAAACCCTAGCACACTTTTTACAGAGCAAACAAGTCGTTATCACCTTCAGGGCTTCCTCTGGCCCCAAGGATCTGCCGCTTGTCTTCTCTCCCTGTTTCCTCCACCCCATCCTCTCTGCTTCACGTTCTTGTGGATGTGTACATGTCTATACATGTACACTCGTGTGTGTGGACCTGCATGTGTGAAGTTTTGCATTTGGTTGCTGGGAAATGGGCAGGATCAAGCGTGTCTAGGGAAGAATTCAAATCTGAATTTTAGAGCTAAAAAGCCCTGGAAACCCAGTCTAATCTGTCCAGACGGAGAAAGAGGCCTGGAGCCCTGGGATAGTCTGTTCAAACAAGTCGGAGGCAGTGCTGGGACCCCTCTGGTCATTTCCCTGTTCCTATTCTCCATGTTCATCAGGATCTGAAGAGGGGTCAGAGGAGGCATGGGAGGTGGAGCCACGCATGTGGGTCCCACTGATTTCTCCACCAACCCCTCTCAGAGAAGCATGTCAACTGGACGGAGGTCACACACACCCCCTGGGGCTCAGAGTCTGGTTCTTGGATGGCTCCAGCTCTGATGGGAGGGAGCTCACAGTCCCTCTAACTCCTGCTGTCAATGGAAGCTGCCTTTTGATTGTTCTTGTGTTCTTTTTAATCACAGTGGTCCCAGGTGTTAAATGTGCTCTTCAGCTTCCAAAGCAGCATCTCACATACGATCATGTTTGCTCTTCACAACCCTGTGACACGGGCTGAATAATTCTCATATTTTTCCGTAAAGGAAGCCAAGCTAGATCCAGAGGATCAGACAGAGTTCAAGACGGAATGCCTGGCCAAGAACCTAGCCCCAAGGCTCTCACCACTCAATTATGTGGTTCTTCTAGTTCTCTGGCTCTTCCCAATTTTGCTCGTGTTGAGGTGAGGTTGGGGGAGCAGCTGGAGCGATGACCACAACGGGAGGAGGTGTGCACTGGCTACTTGGGGCAACCTCCCTCCAACTCAGGTTCTGGGCGATGGCATGAAGAAGCCACAGCTCAGGAAAGTGGCTAATTCCAGACCTAGCCGCCCTTCTAAGTGCCCAGACTGCATCTTTCAAGTACAGGATGCATGCACCTGCATACGTGTTTACTGAAGCAGGAAGTCTCAGGGTGATCCAAGGTCACAGCCCTCACTTCTGACAGATATGCCATGCCAGCCTACAGATAACTACTATAGGGATCTATCTAAGCAGAAAAGAACCCCTGGTGCTCACTGCCTCCTGCCAGCTACCGGGAGGATGACCCTGCCCGAGAGGGGCTCAGGGTGAGGATCATGTCAGGCAGACCCTGGAAGCTGCCCAGCACAGTCCACACCAATCAGAATCGGGGCCTGCACTGTCCTCCTCAAGGATCCCACAATACTTGTTCACAGCCTTCTTAGGACAGTCGCCAAGCTCACTTTTAACCCAAGTCGATGCCTACCGGTGTGTTTGGCCCCTAAGAACGTGAGCATCTGGAGAGCAGAGAATGCGTCACATTCATTTTCGCAAACCTAGCTGAGTGTTTTACAGTCAACACCTAGTACATCGCATCTCAGGAATTAAGACGGGTCAGGAAGATCCCCTGCAGGAGGGCCTGGCAACCTACTACGGTATTCTTGCCCAGAGAATCCCATGGACAGAGAAGCCTGGCAGACTACAGTCCACGGGGTCACAAAGAATCAGACATGGCTGAGTGGCTTAGCACACACACACATACGCAAAGCCCCGAGATGATGCAGAGGAAATGAGAGAAAGATGATGGTTCAACTTGGATCCCACTAACACGGACTTAAGCCGAGGTGAAGGCAACTAAGACCCAAGAAAAGCCAACCAGAGAGAGAAGAATGCTGGGTTCCCCCATGTTCCTGGAGAGACCTGAGCCCCTCCCTTCTCTTGGAGTCCCCTCCACCCCACCCGGAGCCCCTCTCTGGGTCTGCCTCATTCTCGGGGGTGGGGGTGGTAACAGCCCTGCTCACCTGGCCATGTTGTCCTCACTCATGTGGTCAGTGCCTGTGTGGCCAGCCACCCACAGATCTCCCCTTAAAGCTGAGTGATGACACTGCCTTGGACACTCCCCTCCCAGACCTTCAGGTCCTTCCGGGGAGTAACCACCCAGTAGGGGAATCAGGTTCCAGGCCCCTGGTGTCCCGGAAAAAGAGGATCCAGAAAACTGTGGAATCTGACAGGGGACATCAGGAAGAGGGGAGAGGAGTCCTCTGAGAGGCGAATCAGGCTTTCCTAGCCCAAGACTGTGAGAGAAGGCCCATCAGATGTCGCTAAGACACAGGGACAGAGAAGATACCGGGGAGCAGCCCCGGCTCCAGCCCAGGTCCTCCCCTCTGCCTCCGCCACCACTTCCAAGCCCCGGGGGCCTCCCTGCACTCCTGCCCAGCTTCCCCAGCCCCAAGGTCCCGAGACTGGACGGGGATGAGTGGAACCACTGACGGTCCCCGTCTCCAACAACAATACCGTTCTGTTGCCTCAAGATGTCATCAGCCAAACATGTGCTCAGCCCCCACTCTCCCAGGCCTGGGAGGAGAGAGGTGGGTGGCAGCTGGGAGAGTCGGGGAGCCAGATCTCAGAAAAAGAAAAAAAAAGGAGGGCACCCCCAGCCCTGAATCCTTGAGCAAGAGGAAGGGAAACAACAGGAACTCCAGCTAACCCCCAGCCTCCCGGTCAGGCTCAGGCAGGCCCCC